TATATATATATATATATATATATATATATATATATATATATATATATATATATATATATATATATATATAAAATTCTCACCGGCCGATAGCCAACAATTCAGAAAGCCTCGTCTTCCCACCTACCATGTGGAATACTCGCCAAGAATGACTGAAGCTTCTAAGATAAATTTGAGAGTATCATATCTAATCTGCCCAACTTTTCTTTATGACATGCATTCCACAATCTTTTAAAGAAAGAAATTCATCCAATACTAGGATTAGTATCCACCATTCAGTATCCAAATCATTTTTCAAAGTTCTGAACTAAACAAATTCTGTGATCTAAAGGACCAATCTTTTCAAGAAAATTTAGAGGAAACAAACGCGAAATTACTCACAGCTTAATTTGTAAGTAGGGAGAAGGGAACGGTATGGTAGTCCACAGAATAAGCTGCCGTATGAGATGAATGTATATGTCCAAAAAATGGGCTGTTGCTAAATATCTGTAGTAGATTGCTTAATATCTACAAGAACGCTGCAATGAGTAATGGGTAGCTCATGTAATAAATGAACAATTACCTCTTCAAAATAACGTAAAACAAGGCTGATTCTTTTATAATTCGACCCGCACTACGGTATAAGAAGGATGACATTTAAAAGAGCTAAGCAAGATGAAATAAATGTACTACAAGCTTCAAGTAATTAGACCACATTCACCAATTGATTTGAACGGCAGATTGAAGTACAGTATATAATCTTACCGCCTTTAAAAGATCGAAGAACTCTACAATCTTAATAAAAAAATTTCTAATAAAAAACGAACTTCACTCGTCACACGTGACTTTGTGATCAGTGTTTTTGGAGGAACTTTCGACAAATTACAAATACCATCACGTCTATCACTTTGCGTGGGAACTGGCCTGAAAATATGACGGTTGGATTTTGAGCAAAACTGTAGCAGTTACTGAAGTTACACGAAAAGAAATGCTCGAATCTACTTACCTTCTCGTCCTGAGAAGAGGACTTCTTTTTCTCCCCCCTAAGCCAGATGTAGACGGAGTATGTAGAAGCACCTAAAAAAATAATTTATAAACATCTTTCTCGTAACCGTTTTCTGTATTATGTAAAATATGGATCCCTAAGAACAGCAGGATATGTCAGAAATGAAGGGAAAAAAATATCATACCTTACTAATATTGTGAATCAGTCGTAGGCCACAATTAACTGAGACCATGTTGTGGAACCTATGACTACATGCTGTTTTAGTTGCATCTGCCAATACACTGCTATTCGCCTAGTCCACTAACCAAACAGAAGTGTACCCCAATTTGATTAAATATTTCGAAATAATTATTTTACATAAATCTGCCATCATGTTACTCTAATTAGAGAAAAGATTTGTTCATCTACAAACTACACACAACTAATTGAAGTAAGCAAAGGCCAACATCATGCTGTGATAATGTATCCACTGCAACTTCTGTGCAAGAACTACTATCCTTATGCCGGTACCAAAAATCGGACATTCTAGACATCCCTGCTGCCGCCATTTCTGCTGCTCGAGCCTAAAACTCCATAAGCAACTACGTGAATTGACCACAGTATTTTTCAAGAATTCATAATCAACTATTACCCGAAATCGTTGTCTTCGAGGATTTCGCAGAAAATCTTTTGCACAGTTTTCAGCAGAAATATCAGTATTTAAACTGCCAATACTACCATTTTTCTCTGTGTTTACAGCAGATACCATAACACAATCTTCAGTCATATTCGTTAGCATTCTTTTAGTTTCCTGATATTGCTAAGCAGAATTCAATATAACGAATGATTAATGGAAACATATGTTATTTTCATGTATTTCTTATTTTCTACAACACTGATCATTATACTGAATTCTTTCACTACGGCTGATCCTTAAACTAGGAATTTCAATTTCAGAAGTGAAATACTTTTCGAGTAAAATCAACTTCTGATGAACCTTTTATAGACTTATCTTTCCAATGAGTTTGGTACCTTATTTGTACAGCAAGACAAATTTTCAAGACTTGAGATGAATAACGGCTTCAGCCTTGCGCTATTAGAACAATCACTTTTTGTTATTTCAGCTTCAGATCTTCAAATATACAGCACAAATTAACATGGGAAAAAAACAAACTACAAGTACTCCAAAACATCAGTATAATATTTATTCCTCCATATGCAAAAATTAGTTTTCTATTGCAGCAAGATAAGAGTTCTGTAAAATCAAAGTGGTTTTACTTACCTTACGCGCCTAACACGAACATGTTTCCTTAAAATGCAGTCGCGCTCAGTTTCAAGCTGTGACATCTTCATCAGATCAGAATGTTTCGATATTTTCGAAAAATTAGTAAACTTGCCATCTATGCATAGATGGAACACTCTCCTATCTTTTAAAACATTGACCGTGAAGTCGTTTGAAGATATGTTTGAATTAAATGTTGTTGCACTCCGACTACGTCGGCGACTTCCTAGAAGCGATTTGTGCTAGGAAACTTTCAGTATTAATCTAAAATGCAGAAAAAAAAATTTTATCCCTGGAAGTTTCCGAACAACGGTACCTTTTCCTAGCGCTTCCATTTGCTCACTTTTGTTTACATTTTCAAAGATTTCAGGAACAATGATCTCGTCGAAATCACCAAAAGAAGCTGAGTCATTGCCTTAAACGTAGCAACCAAACTCTTTACGAACGAAGATGTGAAAAACTGTACTTGTCAATTTTCATTTGCTTTCAAAATTTTAAAGGACATTTTCCTAAGAGTCAACGGCAGAAATTATTGAATACTAAAGAAAGATGAATATATTCATAAACAAAACTGACTTAGTGACTTGATAGACTTTGTTGGCTTCCACACCTTTCATCTGGTAAAGTATTCGAAAAATTTTTTCAATACTAAATAGTACACTGAATTACAGAAAACATAAATGTAAAGTGAAAACGTCTCATGGTAAGCACCTCATAATATGTTATTGTTCTTAATAACGGAACTACTGAACAGAAAAAAGTCAACCGTCAATATTTAGCGTACTGAGTGAGGTATCGTCTTTTTCATAAATCAGCCGATCAACCAAAACACTCAATTCACTGGAAGTACCGGTAAGTAGCTTGTTCAGCTGACGCTCACTCGTAACTGGAACGTTATTTACAGCAAGGACCACATCACCTTAAATTAACACATTGTTCATCATAAGGAATAAAATAAAACACTATTTTAAAAAGGAATTAATGGCTGTACCTGCTTTAAAACCACATCTTTCAGCGGAAGAAAAGCTTTCTACAGTTGAAATTTGCACGGACCTGACTCCTGTGTTGGAAATGAGCTAAAAAACTTATTCAACATTAGTGATGACAAGTAGGAACGAATTAAGGAGTGTACTATGCAAAGGAAGTGTTGATCAGATACAGAATAATTCGAAGTCTACCAAGACAGTTTTAAAAAGCCAAAAAAAGTCACTGTAGCTTTCAATAAAGATATATCGTACCGGGCATCATAAACATTTTTAAAAAAGATTGCATTCTAATAGCGAATTTAGGAAGCTTAACAAAAATGAAGAGTAAAAGAGCATGATGTGGTTGCACAGGTATGAAAATACTCAATACATACAAATTTCCGTAAGCTCAAAAAAAAATCCATAGCTCAGCACACTAGTTCTTATTATAAGAAAAGCTCACCTGAGGATTTTTTCGAAAGTTTTATGACAGTGATTTTGAACGAATCAGAAGGCAAAGTAAGGGTGTAAACGATATTCAAGACGGTTCTGGAAAGGAAGCTACGAAGATTATATACTACACAACAAGCAACAAGTTGTTCTCTTCAATATATATGCCCCAACTCTGCAAGCTGCTTTATAGAAAACGACAAATTCTACACCAACCTGCGCTGTTTTCTCCAAAAGGTTCCCGCAGATAATGATTTCATAATCTTTGATGACTTCAACATCAGAGTTGGAAGGAACTCTGAAGACTGGAAAGGAGTATTAAACAAGCATGGTAGTGGAAACTACAATGACAATGGACGACTCCGGCTAGAATTCTGTGCAGAGCAGCAACTTACCATCACAAACACTATCTTTCAACAGACAGACAGTTTAAAGACAACCTGGATGCATTCTCGACCCTGTCGGCAGATCTTCGAGTTTAGTGGTGATGGAGTTTGACCTATGTCTTAGTGTGTCAAGAACGTCCAAGATATTCATCATACTCATGTGAT